CCGTACATTCTTGTTTTTGTTTTTCTACCTACTTTAAATTTTTCTGAACCTTTGTCTATCAAATAGTGAGAAAACCCAGTAAAAGGCAATTATCACAGTAGTTGATAACAGTAGTTGTTCAGAAAAATGGTAATTGTCATCATTGAGTGATATTTTTAAATCTAGAATATTTACTATTTTAATTTGTTATTGTTAACCCACTGCTCTGATTTTTGGCATATAAACTATTGTTTATCCTACAGAACAAATTGCTAAAAATAGGGTTTTGAGGAAGAATTCATGCCAGTAGACAGCATTTAATGAAAGATCCTTCTGTGGCAGATTTTATACTCTTTCCATGAACACTCTAGTGACCTGTGCTAAAGGGTTTTTTTTATTTTGTTTTAATGTTGCATGTATTCAACCACATTTAAATTATTGCCACAATTAAGAGATTTGGAAGGGGGTAACTATTAGATAATAGAAAATTCAACTTGTAAGTTATCTTTAACCCACAGGATTTTTGTAGCAAATACTTGCATTTTTTCTACCCTGTAGTACCCTGTGTACCCGCAGTGCTCGATAAATAACAAGCTCTGATGATTTTGCACCCTGGTGTCATAGAAACAGTGGGAATCAAAGATTAAAGTAGTGCACATAGTGATCAGGTTTTCTTGGGCAAATTGAAACATGGTACTGAGGCAATTATTTAGAAAATTCAGACTCAGATATTTTACGAAAACAGAACTGCCATTTATTGAACACTTACTTTGTGCCAAGCTCTATGCTTAACATTTCATGTGTTATATTGATTCATCTTAAAATATCCCTGGAAAACATATGTGTTGTTGTTGTGATTTTTACAGATGTGGGTTTTATGATTTGGAGAGGTTATATAACCTGTCCAAGATTATACACTTTCAGCAGCAAGAATCTGTCTTAATTTTGACACTGAAATCTGTGATTTTTTTTTCCCCTTCTCACTCTACATGTCATTACAGTTCACAGCTTTGTAGAGATATTTAACATCTTTCAGTTTGGTAATAAAGTCCTTATTGGCAGGATGAAATTGAATACTAGAGTAGCAATGTGCAAAGATAGTAGCCTGATAAGCAGTGATGTTGCAGGGCTGGAGAGATGACTCAGTGGTTAAGAGTATAGGCTGCTCTTGCAGAGGACCAGGATTCAATTCCTAGCACTCATCATGGCAGCTAACAACTACTGCCCGTAACTCCAGTTCCAGGGAATCCTCTGCCCTCCTCTGACCTCCCTGGCACGGCACAACATGGGTGCTCTTAAATACATGCAAGCAATACACTCATATGCATAAAATAAAGATAAGTAAAATATTTTTTAAAAAGAAGTGATGTTGCTTTTGGTCAGAGAACAAATCAGCTGTTCCAAGGTGCATGCAGACACTTGCACGTGGGCTAGCTCATCTTTCTGAATTTTGAGCTAAAATAAAGCTTAAATGGTATGAGAAAAATTAAGCATGGATAGCCTAATTGAGCTTAATATAATCTTCCAAAATTCAAGTTAGGAATTCGTACAATTTAAAATTCAGTATTTGTTAGACTTTTTTAAAATATGTAATCTATACAGTAATATCCACTGGCCTGGACTGATGGTCACATCAAAAGATATGTCTTCTATAAAGGAGCTATAACTTTTATATTCCAGACCTTCTATTCATCTAGTGCCTTAAAAATGTCTTCCAGAATGTTCTGGACCCAACTAATAAAGAAGCTGAAGTTCACTTAAGTTTATTCTGAAAAAAAACTCTTGCTCTAGACTTAAAATTTTTAATTGTATAGGATTGTATGTGTTCTAACCCCAGGTATATCAGAATGAGTAATTACATTTTTTCAAAAGATTTTTTTTTTTAGACATCTTGACAGCATATAAAGGGAATTTTTAATCATCAAGGCATATTAAAATGACTAAGACTTCAAAGATATTAATTGCCCCTGTCCACAAGAAAGAAATTTGTGAGTGGTGATTTTAGTAACACCAACTATTATGCACAGTAGTCCCTTTGTAAAATTCTAATTAGGAAACTGTGTGTTTAATTTTCAACATCCGGCTTTTGAGTAGGAGGTCATGAATGCATTATAGGCTTGAAAGGTTCTGTCTGCTATTGCAGTGTGTTCGTATCAGCTCTTAGTATTCAGTGGTGACTAGAATTGGAGCAGCAGACATAGCATGCAGTCACTACAGTAAACTTCACACATCTTAGACTTTGTACAAGTCAGTTTTTTATTTTTAAGGTCTTTCTTGGGAATACATAAGGTATAGTAGAAAGAAGGGGAATGAGAATTGACACTGGGGAGCTGCCAGCAAGGCTGGGCGTGGTGTTGAAGGCAGGAAGGAAAGGAAACTGGAGATGATTCTCAAATGTGCTTTGTAGACCTTTAGCATCTTTTTACACTGAGGCATCTTAAACCCCTGTTCAGCATATGCTAAAAATGGGCCACACATATGTCCCTTCAGCAGATCAGTGACTTGTGCTGGTGATTTCAAAGCCCCTTTGGAAACTGATCTCAAAGTACTAGGTTCTGGACAGGTGGAACCATCCTACTTAGCTGGAATAGTAGGATGCTTTGTAACCTTTCTGGGGTTTTCTGTTTTGTTTTGTTTTTTTAGTGGTATGTTTGGTGGGGGGCGGGTATTAGACAAGAAACTGATTGTACTCTTTATTCTAGCAGTATGATATCTGTAGAATGCAGAGTCAAGTAATCACAACTTCATCCCCTGACTCATGGCTCCTTAGAAGAAGCAACATTGCTGTCCCCATCCCTCCTACCTCCATTCCCAGAGGACAAGAAAATCATGTTATTTTTATGTGTAATAGGGACACACACAGAGACAGACATTACATTTGTGATTTTAAACTTTGATGGAAAAGGTCACACAACTTTAATCCCAGCTCTTGGAGGCAGAGACAGGGGTTCTCTGTGAGATCAAGGCCAGTCTGGTCTATATAGTGACTTCCAGTAGACTGGGACTAGGGAGATCCTGTCAAAAAGAAACAAAACAAAATGAAGTAGAAGTCTAAAAAGTCTCCTTCAGAAGACAAAAATGGGGAAGGATTGAGAAATACTGCTTTAAACTCTGTTCAGGAAAAGAATGGATGACATTGGAATGGAGAGGAAGAAATGAGTTAGATTAGAACAACTTCGTTTTCTTGTGAAAGTGTGATAGTTATCTGTATAGTAAGGAGGAGTCAGAGTTGAGGTTTTAGAACTAGAAAACTTTAGAACTGCCTCTGTGGGGATAGTAGAGGCAGCGAGTATGAGCTGTTCCCAGTGAGGGGCTGTGTCTCTTGGACAGTAGTAAAGTAGGTGAAATCTGTTAAATGACCTGAAGGGTTTTCTGCTTTTCCTCCTCTTCTAATAATAGCTCCATTTAGCTAGTTGTTTAATAGGAAGACTTGTTACAAGCCAGTGTCAGGTGAAATTGACTGATGACAAGTGTTAATTCTTCTGAGGGACAATTGGCTTTTGAGAAGAGCCACCCTTAGTGGAAAGGCATAACAGATGCTTAGATACTATGACAGGCTGGGACATTGGTTCCCAGTAGAGGGGCCTGAAGGAGCAAGTACAGTGCATATGTGGGCAAGGCAGAATTCACTGTTGACAGAGCAGTGTCTTACAAATATGTGTGCTGCTACTAAGAAAATGACGTGTGCTGCTATAACGAAGAAATACAATTAAAATATTGCCAAATTTATAGCTGTTCTGTATCATGTATTTTTTCAAGCCAAAAAATACCCAGTTACTCTTTCCAGTGAGCTCCTTGTTCTAAAATGCTTAGGAAATGAAATGTACTAGAAGTATGGGTGGGTGGGGAGGGTGGGAGGTCCACTTGTCCTGTGACTGGACACACCATCTCCCATAGGCCGTATAGGATTCACAGTCAGAATGGGCCCTTGAGACTCTAGAGCACTTAGAGGGCAACATGTTGAGGGAAACATTTGATCTCTGCAGCCTTTCTTTGTCCAGGCATTGTAGTCATAGGCTGCACTGGAGTTTGTCAGAAATGGTCGAGAATGCTTTGGTGACACTTTAAATCTTCATGATTTTCAAACTTTTGTTATTATAATTAGCATTTAACATTTTCAGCCCTGTTGATTTTCCTAAAATAGAATAGATGTGTTTTAGCTTTCCTCACTCTGGTAAGCACGATTTACTTCTGAGTGTCCTGTGTGGTGTCTCTGACATTCCATGCTGAATGTGTAGAGAAGTGCTTATTGGTGAGTACGTAGCCTTTCTAAGGTAATCTTTATTGGCTTGGGTAAGAACAAGATGTAAAGCCTTCAAATAGATTTTTTTTTCTTTTAAAAGAATAATGCACGTCTTCTGTGACCTTCTTTATGGTACACTGCTGCAGTTAAGCCAGAGATGTGACATTCTAAGCCACATCACATTTATAACAAATTTCCATTATTAGCACTGTTCCGATTCATTATATTTTACTTTACTTTGGTTACCAAGAAACTAAAAGCCACTTACCAAGTTATCTCTTGTGAATCCCAGCACTAGAATTTAGTTTTTAAAACACATTTTTCCCTCTTTTCCTTTTTGATGGTTCTGGGGATTGAGGAAAATATGATTGATCTTTGGTTGGCATGGGAGATTAAGATCCCTCATGACCATATTCTCTTTAGACTCAGGTTTCATGCTGAGGGATTTATTTAAGTTTTAGTGATTTTTTTCACCTTTGCTAATTCATTAAAGTTTTTATAGCTTTATTGAAATTTAGTTAGTATATATTAAACTATAAGTATTTAAGGGACCCAATTTGGTGAATTTCCACATAGGTGTACAGCTGTGAAACTCTTCACAGTTGGGATGGTGAATATGTTCACCCTTGCATGTCTCCTTGTGGCGTTTTGTCATCCCTCCCCAAGCCTCATCTCTCTGCTGCTCATGATTACTCCTGGCCTGTTGGCTTGTTTGTTGTTTGTGTCATGACATGCTAGCTCGCATGGTATGGCATTGCTGATACACATATTCCTTCAGTTCCAGTTCAGACATCATAAGAGATCTTCTGGAAGAAGAAGAAGCCTGGGAAGCAGCACACAAGTGAGTTCTCATAATCAAAAAATAAGCTGGGCATGGTGGTTCAGCCTTTAATCCTAGCACTCAGGAGGCAGAAGCAGGCAGGCATTGACTAGCCTGGTCTACATAGCAACTTCCAGGCAAGCTGGGGCTACAGAAAGAGCCTGTCTCAAAAAACAAAAACAAAAAGAAAGATTTGGACCTGAGAAATAGAATTCTGTGCAGCCGATTTTTATACAAAGTATTTGTGTATGCTGATTTATAATAATCCATGTCAGGCAAAAATTCCCAGTTTGCTACTTGTTTGTGAATATTTCATCTTAGAAATGGAATCTGGGTATAATAACTTGAATTACTTATCAGAGGTTGTTTCTATAAGTTCATATTATTTCTTTGGACAATTTAATAGTTTGATCTTAAGCACTGACTCAGAGTCCTTAGAAACATTTAATCCCTTCTCTTATGAAGAAGATGGGTCATTTTATAGGAATCTTTATCTTGCCAGTCCTAAACGTATGCTGCCATATTTGTGCATACATTATCCGCATTTTCTCTTTTTATAAAAAGAAAGGCATGACTTCTCCTGCCACAGTTGAATTCCTCCTTTTGCCTCCTGTCTAGAGCCTCCTCCCTTTGCCCTTCTTTCCCCTTACACGAGCAACCTCTCCTCAACTGGTCTTTCTCATTTCATTCTCCTCAATGTATAGTGGTAGCCTTTGCAGGTGTCTCTGTCCTTCTGCTTTAGTAGATGATTCCCACTTAGTTTCTGTTTCTTCGTTTTCCATTTAGCCTTCCTTCTTCTGAACTTGTTCCCACCAAAGCCTTTAAGGGTCTCTATGCTGCTAAATCTGGAGGCCATTTTTAGAAGTTACCTTCCTTGATGCATTAGCCGAATTTGGTACTAAGCAGGAAGATCAGAAGTTCAGGCTCATCTTCTCCTACATATAAAGTGTGAGGCCAGCCTGAGCTACTTGAGACCCTGCATCTAAAATTAAAATAGAAAGAGAGAAGAAATTTTAAGATAAGTAGAAAAAAGAGAATTAAAAATTAAATTAAAAAGTGGCACTTAAAAAATCTGCCTTACAAGTGATTATAGTAAATAAAAATGGGTTAAACAATCCAGTAGGAAGGCAGACATTGACAGAATAGGTTAGAAAAAGATCCACTATCCCACTATGTTTTGTCTTCAAAGATACCAGTAAATTGAAAGCAAAACAATAGAAAAGATATACCATATAGACAACCAAACAAAGCTAACATTAACTGTACTGATTTCAGACAAAGACAAATTAGGCTTTCGATAAAAAAAAAATTAATAGAACTAGAGACATTTATAATGCTTGAAAAGGTCAATCCCTCAAGAATATAAAATGATTAGGAATATATATACATATATGAATACTATCTACAAGCAATAAGGATTAAAACTCAATTAAAGAAACATTACCACTGTCCTAGTTTGTTTCTCTACTGCTGTGATAAAACATTGACCATAACCAACTTGGGGAGGAAATGGTTTATTTGGCTTATAGCACTGTCCATCATTGAGGGAACTCAAAGCAAGGACACAGGACAGAAACCTGGAGGCAGAAGCTAAAGTGCAGACCATGGAGGAACACTCTTACTGGCTTGTCCCTCTGGCTTTTGCTCAGCCTCTTTTCTTATACAACACAGGACCACCTACCATAGGATGGCACTGCCCACAGTGGGCTGGACCCTCCCACACCACTCAACAATTAAGAAAATGCCCCCAAACATGTCAACAAGGCCAATCCAATAGAAGAAGTTCCCCAGTTGAGGTTCCTTCTTCTCAGGTGTGTTAAGATGACAACTAAAGCTATCCAGCACAGCCATGGACACAGACTCATTCTCTTCACAATCCTTTGTGGATAGAGGCCAGGCAAGCTAAAATGGGCCTGCAGAATTCCGCTCAGACTATGCACCAGTGGTCTCCTGGCCTTTCTTAGAGAATGTTTCCCTAAAGCAAAAGAACTTGGGAATTCCCAGGCTCTCTAAGTCCTCAGCACGTTCTGCGGGTCTACCTGTCTGCTTTTTTGAAAGTGCTATGCCAAGAAGTGTGCTCAATACATGCTACCATGCAGAGCTTCCCAGAGGCCTCACTCTGATCTTTCTCTATTGCTTATTCTCCTTTTCATTTTCTTACTATTGTTTCTCAAAATGCAGTTTTTAATTTGGATGAAATGTAATTTATCAATTTCAATGATTTTTGTCCTGCCTAGGAAACTTTTGCATGACCCAATGTTCTAGTTTGCTTTCTGTTACTGTGATAAACACCATGACCAAAAGCAACTTTGGGAGGAAAGGCTTCATTTCAGCTTACACTTCCAGGTCACAGTTCCTCAGGGCAGGAACTCAAGGCAGGTACCTGGAGTAGAAACCATGGAGGAACACTGCTTACTGGCTTGGTCTCCAACTCCTGCTCACTAGGTAGGTAGCCAACTAGCTAGCTTGCTTCTATCTGTCTGTCTGTCTGTCTGTCTGTCTGTCTCTCTCTCTCTCTCTCTCTCTCTCTCTCTCTCTCTCTCATCTTTTCCTTCCCTCCCTCTGTCCCTCCCTCCTTCCCTTTCTTCAGCTCAGGCCCATCTGCCTAGGGTGATGTTGTCCACAGGAGGCTGGCCCCTCCCACATCTGTCAATCAAGATAATCTCTCAGACATGACTACAACCCATTCTGATTGAGGAAAATTTTCCTTTGGTGGTTCTTCTTCCCAAGTGACTGTAGATTGTGTCAAGTTGACTATAAAAACTAATCAGAATACCTAAGCTCACAAATATTTTTATTTTATGTCTTAGAAGTTTTAGTTTTTATATTAAGATTTGTAGCCTGCTTGAAGTACAATGATCATAAGACATTGGGAATGACCATGGTTCCATTTTTGTTTTTGTTTTTGTTTTTTGCATAAGGCTCTCTAATTGCTCCAGCACTAGATAGTGAAGAGACTGTCCTATGTTCTTTTTATAGAAAATCTACCAAATATGTATATGTAGGTTTATGTCTAGACTCTTCTGTTGATCATATTTGTCTTTTTAACACTTTGTTGATTGCTGTTTAATAGTAAAGCTTTAAACCAGGTAATATGAGACCTTTTTCAATAAATGTAACCATATATTAGGGTTCATTTCTGTTGCATATTGTATGAATTTTGATAAATGTATAAGGGAGCAGAGGAAGCGATAAAGTATCCCCAGATGCTATAGCTGCCACAGTCCTGTGTAAAGCTGAGATGACCGTGGGGCGAAGCCGGCTATATTTTTTTGCATGTCATTTCCATTTGATTAGTAAGTTCTTTTGAGCCCTTCTAATCTTGTAAATCCATGGTGACCCACTGCAGAATGGGAATCTCTGGGTAGAGAGTGGCAAGGTCTCTAGAGTCCACAGGGGACTAGAGTATCACAAACAAGATGGCGTAAACAATAAAAATTTATTTTCCCATAGCCCCGGAGGCTAGAGATCCAAAATCAAGGTGTTGATAGGATTGGCCACTGAGTCTTCCCTTTTTTGACCACTTTCTGGGTAGCGATTGTTTTTCTTAATGGTATTAGGGTTATGCCTGTTCAAAAACTCAGAATTCCAGGGCCAGTGAGATGGCTCAGCTGGTGAAGGTGCTTCTTCCCAAGCATGATGGCCTGAGTTTAATCTCCCAGACTCACGTGGTGGAAGGAGAAAACCAACTCCCGCGAGTTGTGCTTGGGTGGGAGTTTGACCAAGAAGTATCTAAGGAATTCAGATTTGATTCTTTTGGTAGACTGCCCTAGTCCTACATCTGGGGTTGGCAGATGAAGTCTCATGAACCAAATCTGGTCCACTGTCTGCTTTTCTTAACAAAAACTTTATTAGAACATAGCCATACATATTCCTTTAGCTGATGGTTGTTCACATTACTTTGTTGTTCCATGTTACAACAGGGTCAAGTAGTTGCAGCAGCCTTTCGGAGTCTTTAAAACACAAAGATATTTTGACTATTACAGAAAATTTGCTAACTTTTGTTCTAGATCAAAAGAATCTCAGCCATTTGGTTGAGTACCCTACTGACTGAGTCCCCCTACTATGACCAACCCCAGAAAAAGTGGGAAGGGTCTTCTGACCTTTCTGGGTAAGGAGACTGGGTGAACATGGGGAATAATATAGAGAAAAGTGAAATACTAATTAATGGGACTGGCACACTGGCTTTGTAGAGGGGAAGGGATACCAACAGCATTGACAGCTGAAGAGAAGCTCTTAGACTGTAGAAGCTGTGGAGAGGAAGGGATGCTGATGGACTCTGACTTTCTGAGCAGTTCCTGGTGAATTTCTGACACTGGAAAATTCCTTGGTGAGACTCTCCTAGATGGTTGTAAGTGCCTTAGATTTTACTGCCTGCTCTACCCTGCTAGATGACTTTGAATGTGCTAATCTTCATTCACCCTAACCTTACTAAGAGCTCTGTTCAGCAGCCCTTGTTCTTCCCATACAGAAATGTCTTTATTCTTCCTATTCCCATGTGTTGCTCAGATACACCACTCAGCTGGTACTGATGAGATAGGTCATACTGGTGGTTCAGGTACTCTTGAAAGCAAGGACTGGATTCAATTTTTTGAGCTAAGTTAGAAACTATTTTGAAGTTTACTAGCTGGCCAGTCAGTCTCACAGGAAGTATACCATCAGCCTGTATACTCCAGTTGATGTTGCTGTACAACATCACTATCTCTTCAAGAATACTATTGTGGTGAGTGCTCCAGACTGTGCCAGGCATTAGTTTTCAACTCTCTCAGAAACATGGAGACTAACACAGTAGTGATGGTCATAATAAATTTTTTTTAAAAATTAACTGACAGATCATATAGCACTCAGGCAATTGTGGTGATCTTTCCAGATTGAGGCTACTTTTTGTTTCTCGGGCAGAGCTTCCTAGAGGGATGAATGATGGTTTGAGCACACCCAGCAATAAGAATCATCCAGTTATTTGCCCTTGCCTTTAGCTGAGGCATGCTCACTGCTCCTCACCTCTGGAAGGTGTTTATGAAGGCCTTAGCTCTGGCCAAGATTCTGATGGATGATAGAATTGCCATGGATTTCCTCTTTGTAGACTAGGTCAGTGTTACTACAGGTGTTATACATCTTCCTGTCTCTGAATCAGTGACACCTTGGGCCAAGTAGAAAGCTTAAATAGACAGGCTCCATATGGCTTTCTAAGGTAGTCACTGAAGGTATTTGGAATTTGTTCTTGGTAGATCTGGGACCCTGGGAGACAGGGGTTAATATTGCAAATTTACTTCATTCTGCTGCTAGTACCTTTAAGTATTCTATGAGACAGATAGAATGGATGTAATCCCAACTCTGTCAGTTAAGCATAGTGGCTGATAGAGTGATCTATACTTAGAGAAAATTCTCCAAGAAGCCACTCTGATGATGAGCACTGACTGCTCATGCCAAATTTTTTAGTCTACCTTTCCAAGGTATTTGTACAATAATCAGCCTTGGAAGAACACATAGATTCTCTCTAGAACAAAAAAGAGACAAAAACACTGCCCCTTAGAAGAGTTTCTTTCCTGACATGTAACCCCTTGCCCATGCTGGTATCATCTGGTTCTTCATGTCACCCTTTGGAATTTGGGTCTTGAAGCAGCATAAATGCCTATCCTGTGTGTGCTGATCACGGTATGAACAATACATTGTCCACTGCAGACATCTCATGTTCTCTCTTCCAGTTTCTATGAAACTGTCAAGCTAACTTCTTAGTTTGTAGGTGGGGTAGAATCTTAACCCTTTCTCAATTTTTGACACATTTAGATTGCTTTTTATAAATACACAGCATGCAGTTTTTTTTTCCAATTTGATAGGTATTCTGACTTTTAATTGAATAATTCAACCAGTTAAATTTATTGGAATTATTGATGATGAGGGGTTTTTGTTTGTTTGAGATAGCATCTCATGTATCCCAAGCTGTCCTTACACTTGCTTTGTAGCCAAGAACAATCTTAACCTTCTGTCTTCCTGCTTTCACCCACCAAGTGCTAGAATTATAGGTGTGCACCACCATGTTTGGTTTATATGGTGTTGGAGGTGGAACCCAGGGCTTTCTGCATGCTGGGTAAGCACTCTACCAACTGAGCTACATCACCAGCTCAGTGTTGACAGTGTATGACCATTTCCATCGTTTTCTGTTTGTCTTACACAGTTTCACGCTCTTCCCCCCCCCTTTCTGAACCTCTTTGGATCAATGGGCAATAGTTTATTATTTCATTCTCTTGTAGTATTGGCTTATTAGTTTTACCTTTATTTTTAAATATTTAGTGTTTGCCTTAGGGCTTGTAACATACACTGTTATCACAGCCTTCAGGTACTATGCTCTTGGTGTATGAGAACTCCAGTCCTTTCTGCCAATTCATGGTCCTCCTGTCATATATTTAGTTCTATATATGTTGAAACTGTACTGTTTCTTTTCACAGATCCAAATTTTCATCTGATTATCTGGTTATCATACTTGTTTGACTTAAAAAGCTTCCTTTAATATTTCCTGTATTATTTCTTAAATAGATTAGCTGTTGATTCTCTTATCTTTTGTCCGAGAAGTATTCGTTTAACTTTCATCTTTGAAAGATGTTTTTGCTTGGAGTGGAATTCTAGGTTGAAAGTTTTTTCTTCTGGCACTTTAAAGCTATTACTGCATTGCCTTGCAGCTTGTCTGGTTTCTGATGAGAAACCTGTATCTGTCGTCCATGGAATGTCCCTTCCTTCTCTGCCTGCCTTCAAGAGTTTCCTTTTGGTTTTCAGCACTTTGTGTATGCATCAAGGTATTTTCTGCTTGTTTGTTGTTGCTTTATTTTTTGACATTTATTCTGATGGGGTGTTTTCTACCACTTTTGGGTTTTTTTTGAATGTCTTAATGTTTTTAGAAAACTCACAGTTGTATAATTTTTCCTATAATTGTTTCTCTCCTCTATGGATTCTAGTATATGTATATTTTATTTGTGTATATGTGTGTGTTTGTGTGAATATATGCCATGTACATGCAGGTGCCCACAAAGACCAGAAGAGTGCATCAGATCCTCCAGAACTGGAGTTTCAGGTGGTTTTAAGCCACCTGACATGGGTTCTAGGAATTGAACTTTGGGCTAGAAAATCAGGAGGCCTCTTAACCGCTGCGTCATCTCTCCAGCTCCCCTCCCCCCCAATTTGGATGATTTTGGTTGACACATCTTTAAGTTTACTGAGGCTTTTAACAACTTCATATATCATACTTACAAGTTCTTTGAAGAAATATTTCCTCTCATATAGCACAAAAGAGAAGTAACCTAGTGGGATTTTGGCACATGACTTTAATCCCAGTCCTCGGGAGGCAGACGCAGGTGGATCTTTATGAGATCCAGGCCAGCCTGGTCTACATAGCAAGTCTCAGAGCAGCTGTGGCTACAGAGATTCCCTGTCTCAGAGAAAGAGAGAGAGACAGAGACAGACAGACAGACAGACAGACAGACAGACAGGCCTTCTGCCTGCCTCAAGGCCTCCACAGTAGCTGTCCTGCTTCTGGCCTGTTCCTAGGCTTCTTCACAAGCACCTGGTGGAGGCATATAAAAAGAGACTTGCAAGTACATGTGACTCCTGTGCTAGGGTTGCAGTGTTACCTTATACTTGAGCATTCATGGCAGAGCGTATGCTTATCATGTGTGAGACCCAGGGTTCTATCCCCAACTCCCGCCCCCCAAAAAAGGACGCATAAGTTTAGCTGATCTTTTGTTTTTTACTCGATTGTATAGCAGTTGTCTCTCTTTAATGCTCTATCCAAAGTGAGATAATTTGTATGGCCCATATATCTTTGGGAGGGCTTATCTTTTCTTTGGACTTTGTTTTGTGTGTGTGAATGTATATGTGTTTATGTTTGTGCAGATGCACATTGTGTGTTGTTGGGGTAGATGTGTGCAGAGGCAAGAGGACAGTGTTGAATGCTGTCCCTTAGGTACCATCCACCTTTCGGGGGCAGAAAGCAGAGAGTGGTAAGTGGCAGGATCTCTCACTGTCATGGAGCTTGTCAAGTAGGCTAGACTGGCTGGGTCAGCAAGCCCTAGGAATCCACTGGGATTATAAGCACTTACCCCCTGTGCTTGGCTTTTTTAATGTAGGTTCTAGGAATGGAATGTAGGTCTTTGTGCTTGCAAGGCAAGCATTTTACTGACAGCCATCTCTAGCTCTGTTTGCTTTTTAAAACCATGTTTCGTATATACACCCTAGGCTGGCCTGGAATTTACTGTATATCATGCAGGGTAGCCTCAAATACATGATCTTCCTTCTTCTGCCTCCTGAGTGCTGAGATTATAGCACAACATGTCTTAAAAGCTTTTGGATTTTGATTTAAAAAAAAAAAAAGGCTCCTGATCATCTATGATCTTTGCAAATTCACTGCTTTCTTGCTTATAAGGCGGGAATAATAATGATAATAATACAGATTATAGATTTATCCCTAAAAAAAAGGGCTGTTCGTGGGTTTTAATGAAGCCACACATGTGTAAGTACTTAGGAACTAGGAGTTGCTGTAGGAGAATGACCATTACTCTCTAAGATGTTATTTCTTTTTTTTTTGCCTGTTTTCAGAAATGATCCTCAAGACAGAGAAGTAAGCCCACGTCAGAGTCGCCGCACAAGAGCAGCTGAACGTGCTGAGACTGAACCAAGGAACAAGCGGAATAGGAATTAGTGTAGATTTTTGTCAACTATACAGTGGCCAGAATATGGTACTTTTTGTTACCATATATGGTTCACATTGAGAAATGCTCAAGGGGAGATATTTAACTGGGGACGTGGTAGTTAACTTATTTTCATTCTTCTCTCCTTTCTGGAAAAAAGAAAAAGTTAATGAAATGTCTCATTTTGGTCAGTTGCTTCCTGCCTCTCACATATTTCTCCCTAAAAACAGATTGACCAGCTTTGCACAGTAGACAAACTATTTAGCAAAAGTATTTCTTTGGTTTGATTTCTCTTTTCATTTCAGAATGTTCTTAAATCATTTTTCATTTTTCCGCTGGGGAACCAATTCAGAAACAGGTTCTTCCCATTCTCTTCACTATAGCAAGCAGCTCCAAGCATGCGTGCTGTCAGAACTGCCATCAGTTCCTACGCCAAACCCCAGTGCTTACTGATGGTTGTTGCCCAACTTCAGTGTATTTGTTTGTTAGAACCACCCATATTTTAAATACAGAGTAGGTTTATAATTTAAAGTCACAGAGTTACTATTGTAATTTAAAATAATAGTCACAATAACTTTGAAACATTTGTATATTCTTCTGATATTATTTCTGTTAGTACTTTTCCATGGGGTTAGTCAGATCTCTAACACTTTGAATCCCAGTTGTTAAACAGAAATAAAAAATTAAATAAATGGATTTATCAATGAATGACAGTTTATAATGTCCATGAAATGATAGCCTGTGAGTAGTTGAGTAGAGATTATAAATCTTTATGTTGCATTTGTCATAAAGTTTGTTATCTTGTGTGCAAAAGTATTCCCCAGTTCCCAGTTTCTACTGCCTTTCTTTGGCATTTCAGAGCCAGCCTGCCCCCTTTAACCACTGCCCAACCCAGACATACCAGCTTTCATATAGCACAGCAATAATTTATGACTGTGCCAGGGGAAACATTTGTGGCTTTTCCATTGCAGAGGATATCTTTGCGGACATTGGCTTTTTGGTGTGCTTTGGGGTTTCTGACAGTGTGTGGGTTCTCATTATGCATTCCCTGGGCTTCAAATGGTTATAGAACTTGTCATAATGATTTCTTCTCCCTAAGCTCACGAGTGTTACATTAGGAAAACTGAAAGCAGCACTCCTCACTGAATCTATCAGGGGTCTGACGTGAGGTAAGTGAGCAGTGTGGAAGAAATAGAGGCAACATTGCCATGGTGTTTATATCACTGAGTTGCCAGATATTAGGCTACAGGGAAAACCGTCTTTCATTAAAAATTACATGATCTGCCATATATTAAAGTGGAAGCAATTGCAGTTATATTTGCAGCAAAAGCAATTTGCAAGGGAGCAGTGAAACACAAGATGGGAAAGCAGGCACATGAATTCATTCAGCAAATATTTATTTATATGTTTAGTTACTTATTAGTCATTGTGCTGAGTACTCAGAATATAAAGTTGACCAAAGGTCATTAAATTCTAAAACTGCTTCTCAGTGGGACAGGCAGGAAGAACTGGTTCCTTGGGGGACAGATGGGCAGAATGTGGACGTGTTTTTGCTTATTATGACTGAGGTGGTTGTGGTTGGGAAGAATGTGGGGCTAGGGCTGCTGTCAGATATTGTCATGTGTTATCACAGCATGCATTGATTTTTCTCAGTTCTCGGAGCCAGAAGGCTAGATCAATAGGGTATCCTTTGAGGCTGCTCTCCTTGGCTCACAGACCGTTTCTTTCTCTCTCTGTCCTTACCTGGTCTTCCCTTTGTGCACACATGTCTGTGTCCTGATCTCTCCCTCTGAGGACACCAGTCATGCTGGATTGACCCCATAATGTGACCTCAACTTACTTTACCTCTTTAATGAGCCTGTTCACAAATACAGCCCTGCTAGGAATTAGGACTCCCTACTTTTACATCTGGAAGGGGCACGATTTTACCTGTAATACCCTACAATTGTTCAGGCTAAAATCTCAATGGTACCAAGATTAAGAAATCTGTAATATAAAGGCACTTCCTGCTGACCTGAAAAACAAAATGGGCATTTATGAGCTTTGTATGATAATGCTTTGCATATACTTAACATTCATACTTTGAAAGAAAAGTTTATCTTATTTAGCAAAGGGAAACTTAGGGTAAGTGTTATTTCCAGAGTTGAAAGTGATAAATGTTCTAATCATGAAATTTATTTTTTAGTGAAAATCTGACCTCAACCCAACTTACTGTCCTTCACTAGTTATTGGTTCTTTTTCCTTCTGACTCTTCTCAAGAGCACAGTGACTGCGATCAGTTATACTTGCTCTTAATAGCAGTGATGCATAAGCTCTGGGTAGATGGATGGATGCTGTTGGGCTGCAGTGGTTATTTGGAAAAGAACATCCAGATGGCTCTGATAGGTCAGGCACCTCCTTCCACTTGTAGTCCTTCTACCCCATGTGGAGAGTCATTGGTGCAGTAGGAAGGAGGATTCATATACATAAACTCATAAGAGCTGTTGAAGACATCACGAGGTGAAGACATATCTCAAAAGGAGCAGAGAAGGCTTTGTGCAGGACCCTTGTTAATGTGTCTCTTGGCTCCATAGACTAAGAACTGTTCAGATTACTTCACTGGTAGCTACTATACAGAAACCTGAAATCTGACTCAGTTTCCATAGAACGGGGGAAAGGCAAAAACAGTAGATTTCAAAACTGTTAGCATTTGACAAAAGAAAATAGTAATTCTTTGAATGAGACCTGTTTTTTCCTATTTTTTTAATTAATGATGAGCATTAGAACAGTCAGATTTATTCAGTTCATTACCATTTTCATTTTCTTCTTTTTATTTTAACCTAATGTTCTTCAGATGTCCCTAAGAATAACCATCTAGAAAGCTGAGTTTATGGCTGAGGAGCCTGAGGCAGGAAGACAGTGTGTTCAAGGACACCTGGATTACACAGTGACACCCTGTTCTAAAAACTAGCAACAGCAGGAATAACCCATCTGAGGCTGGAAACAGGTCACCTTAACACACTTATCACTAGCTCACAATCCCCTGCTTCACTTTTAAAACATATTTTTAAATGTTTTATTTATTTTTGTGTATGTTATGTATATATATATGTGTGGGTACACACATGCCATGGCAGGCAATGAAGGTCAGAGGACAACTTACAAGGAATCAGTGCTCTCCTTCCGTCGTGTGAGTCCCTAGGATCAAACTCAAGTTGTCAGACTTGGCAGCAAGTACCTTTACCCACTGAGCCATCTCTCTGGCCACCACTTACATTTTACAGGGGGCATTTCCTTTTCCTGATGTTTTCAGGTATCCTCAGGCCTAGACCATTAAAAATTCAGGCACAAGTACATGCTTAAATATGTTGCTGTTCTCCTGACAGATTCCTGCCAGGGATCTGTCATCTGTGTGTCCATCTCCCCTGCCCCCATCCTCTTGTCACATTACAGGTGGTCCAGTAGTAGAGCCTCCCTTAGGATGTCATCTCAATGCAACCTGAGATGTGAGCCTACAAGGTGCTCAGGCAGTTTTCCTCCCTGTCTACTTCCCAGGGTCTCACTATGTTCCAAGTGTAAATAAGGAGAGTGGACTCTTCTTAGATAGACCAGCTTTAACCTGGACGCTCTGTCTCCTCATAAAAATCTGTGTTCTTTTTCTCTCCTTTTCTCACTTCCCTTCCCTCTACAGTTGGACTCAATGTTAAGTACTGTACAAAACAAAGAGACCCTGCTCTGATGGAATGTGTAAACCAGAAGAGGAGACAAGCATTTTCAAGTAATTACACAACTAATAGCTAAAAGAAGTACAGCAAAGAAAAAGAATGTGGCACTGTGAAAGCACATCACTTCTCCAGGACTCCTGCACACAAACATACACACATGTATGTATACGCACATATACACACACACGTGTACACATAACACATATACATATACGTGTGTACATACATATACCTTTATAGACACATGTATACACATATACACAGTGGCTTCATTTGTCACAAATTTCACAGGTTATCAGTACTCTTTAGTTGTAATCATTATTTGTATATCATTCTGTCTGGAATATGTGTCATATTTTGCACAGACATTCTCTTACTCAGACATTTAGGTTACTTCCAGGTTGTTTTATTTCCAGTTATGAATCATTTTGAACAGGGCACTGTACTTTTTCATATATGTCATTACTTTCTTAGGGTCACAGAAATGGAATTACTGGAACAGTACCTTTGAATAAAACACATATGGCCATATTTTCAAAACAGGGAGCAACAGAGTATAAAATTCTATAGAAGTTTGTTCTGTGGGTTTTAAAATAATGAACATTGGGGCTGGAGAGATGGCTCAGAGGTTAAGAACACTGGTGGTTCTTGCAGAAGACCCAGGTTCAAATCCCAGCACCCACATGGCAGCTAACAACTGTCCGTAACTCCCGTTCCAGGGGATCCAACAGCCTCTTCTGACCTCCGCAGGCATTGTATGACACGGGTGCACTTACCTCACACAAATACACATAAAATAAAAATAATAAAATATTTTTTAAAAATAATGATCATTAAGGGGTATAATTGAGGCGCTCCTGGGTGGGAATTCAGCAAGGACACAGGTATAATTCTACAATCTTCTGTTAACTGTCAAAGCTGAGGACCTAATATTAAAGGAACCAATTAAAGAATTTATGGAGTTAGAAGTAAAGATCAGGAAGATGTGGTGCTCTATTGTGGTAGTATTTGTATTTAAGGTCTCTGATGGGGATGGCTGTAAAACTCACTTTTATACCTAGGTTTTGGGTAAAAGCTGAATGTGTGCAGCTGGATATATTTTCCAGAAAAATTCTAGAGCTGCTGTTAAGCCCAGCTGGTTTGGGTGCCAGATGAATAAGCAGAAGGCAAGGCTGACCTTTTATGAGTGTCTCTGCTTGAATGGAAGCTAGACAGGCAGCAAGCAAGGGATGGTTTGGTCCCCATATTCCAGCCTTGGATTTACACAGACACACACTTGAACCCTGGAGGTCTGCATGGTATTTATTTGTTTGGATCCAGTAAGCATTGCATCACATATCTTGTATATAACATTCAATTTTGAAACGTCCTGACTTTTACATGGCTGTTAGCAGGCTTGGTAAATGTTCTAGGTCACCTTAAATTCATTGTTAAGTGGAACCATTTTTTTAAAAATTTTGGAAAGCGTGACATCTACATAGAGCCACTTGTTACCTACTTCTAATACATTGTACTGATTTACCTACATTAAAGTCCTGAGGGGGTAGAACTAAGGCAGGGCTTCTGGCAACATGATGGAATACTAATATTTGATCTGTGGAGAGGCTCTTCCTGCCCACCTTGTCACAGAGGTTTAGAAAAGGAAGCTTTAAAGAGGTATGTTTGTTGGAGACTAGAGAGGTGGCTCAGTGGTTAAGAGCACTGCTCTTAAAGAGGACCAGTTTGGTTCTAGGCATCAACCTAGTGGGTAACAACCATGTATAACTCCAGTCCCAGAGAAATCTGATATCCTCTTCTAACCTCCACAGGTATTGCACCACAGAGGTGCACTTAACATACATACATTCAGGCAATACTCATACACATAGAATAAAAATAATAAAAGATATGTTTGTCTAGATCTGTTTCAAGATTACCATTTTGGGCAGTTGCTGACTAGAAGTTGATATGGGTTTTTCTAAAAATATACTCTGTCCGGGACTGCTTCTATTTTTGTTTTTGTAG